CATCAATAATTTTTAAAAAGTGATCACTATATGACTTTGGGGGACTCTACATTTTTTATTGTGTTTGACAAGCAGATAACATGAGACCCCTCAATGGACCAGCATTTTCATTTTCAGGGGTAGGAAATAAGATTCTCCTATATGTGTAGCAGCTGTTTTTTGTTTTTTATGTGGGTTAACATTTCCAGGGCAAGTCTAGGAGCCAGTTCACATGGCATCCAAAGGGCCTATTGTTCTTTAAACCAATCCAGAGTCATCTGTGTTGTTACCCATACGTGCCTGTGCACTGAAGCTCCTGAGCATCATGGGAAGAGGACCCAACCTTTCACAATGTGCGTGCCAACCACGTGTCATAATAACAGCCCTTTTAGATGTGATTAATTGCCCTTCAAGTTGGCAGAAGAGAATTCTGTGTACTTCCACTTTGCTTTCATGTCCATACAAGTGAGAACCACAGATATCTAATTCTGTGGCAGCATAGACACCAAATTCACAAAGCTTTTCGCTTGAAGCATGGTGGGGGTAATTCTAACCCAGCTAACCTGTAGTTCTCCCTCCAGAATGCTGAGAAGAAATAAGAGGTCATCTCTTGAGAGATCTTCTCCTTGATGGCCATTACCACTGTGTGACTTAGGATGTGGAAGGATTGCATCTGCCTCACTGGTGGGATCTTTTTCTTGCTGTCTCTGCTTCATGTCCTTAGGTCCTTGGAAACTGTGGTCTTTACTAAGTCTTGGAAATTGCTTTTGGGCTGAGCCCTCCATATCACTGCTTCTGGAACGCATTCTTTAAGGGCTGGAAAGAAGGAAGACAATTTGTAACTCTTTTTTTTTGAAGAAGAAGAAGATTAGCCCTGAACTAACATCTGCTGCCAATCCTCCTCTTTTTGCTAAGGAAGACTGGCCTGAGCTAACATCCATGCCCATCTTCCTCTACTTTATATGTGGGACGCCTACCACAGCATGGCTTGCCAAGTGGTGCCATGTCCGCACCCGGGATCTGAACCCGTGAACCCCGGGGCCACCGAAGTGGAACGTGCGAACTTAACCGCTGTGCCACCAGGCCAGCCCGACAATTTGTAACTCTTAATGGAAGTGGAGTTTTTAATAAGGGTACCTATTACTGCTTTAACAAGTGTGCACTCTTGTTATATTTACCGGAGCCAAAGACTCAATCTTTCTGAAGTCTCCAGCAGAGAAGGTCATTAGCAGATTCATAAATCACAGTCTTATTTACGCTTCTGTTTTTAAAAATCAACATTTTAAAAAATGTCTTCTGCTTGGATTAAGACCACTTATGTTCGTGGGTAAATAGACTGTATTTGAACTTCATCCACCAAACATTCCACCCCAGGGACCCAGGTCATACCTCCAACCACGGCCTGAGTGCTTACTTAAGATGTACTTAACATAATTATAAAATGGTAAATTTGCTAATCGTTCTAACTTTTTGCAGATTCACATTATAGTATTTTTTTTGGAAGTTTTTAAAAATTTTTAAATTTCTTAGCCTTTGGTGCATTAAGATAGATGCATCAGAATTACTGCTACTAAATACTTTGGGTTATTTTGTTATGATGGCAAAGTCTAGTATTAAAGGAATGAAGGCTTGGTCCCTGGTGGTATCCCTGACATTCTGCTAAAATTCCAGATCTATCCTTGAATAAGTCAAGCACTTATATTTAGGACCCTTATCTCCAAAATAGGGACATTACTCCCTCTAGTAGTCGGCCATTATGGAATCAATATAAAATAAATCAATATTTGAGGGACATATTAGCTCCACATCTGATTATATAATTATCTAAATTAATTTATGATAGCAAGAAAAATTGTTCCACCTTTGAGGAGGAAAAGAGAAAATATCAATTGAGCTTATAGTCTGCATCAGTGATATACAAGTAGATTGTTAATTTTGCTCATCCCTACAAATCATGAAACTTTTATCATCATTGGTGCCTTGATTTTAGTTTGTCACAATATTTCTTGAAAAATCTGAAAAAACTCAAGCATACAGAAAAGTATGGAAACATGGTGAACCACTATATGCTACCACACAAATTTCTAAAATCTAAATAATTTCTTATATACGTTAGAAAACAATTTTTTTAAAGTAAACTATTATCAAAACAGTTGAAGCCCTCTGTGTGTCTCTTCTGTAGCCCACTCTACCCTTACCATCCCAGAAGTAACGATCTTGAATTTGGTGTTTATCATTCTCATATATGTTTTATACTTTTTAAAAATGTGTATATATATTGCTGAACAATATATAGTATTGCTTTGCACATTTTCAAACCTTGTATAAATAGCATATTGAATGTATCGTTCTGGAACATGCTTTTTTGTCCTTATTTTTGAGATTCTTCCTTGTTCCATTTTACTTTAGTTTACATATTTTGATTGCTATATTAGTATTTCATTATATCAATAGTCCCCCATTTACTTGTCCATTTTACTGTTGATGGATATTTAAATAGTTTACTTTTTTTTCACTATTAGAAAAAATGATACTGTGAACATTCTTGTACATTTTTTTCCCTGTGTACATGCATTTTTCCAGGGAATATTCTTTAAGGCCTAAGAGTGGGATTTTTGGACTGTGCAGTATGTGTGTCCTCCACATTACTAGGGATTATTGCTCTCCTAAATGGAGCACCAATTTATAGCAGAGTATGAGAGCTCTCATTGCTCTATATCTTCATGAACGCTTGCTATTATGAAATATACAGTTTTCCCAAATTTGGTAAGTGAAATGGTATCTGACTTTTTGATTTGCATCCTGTAATTAATAAGAGTGGGCATCCTTTTATGTGTTGAGAGGCCATTTGGATTTCTTCATAAATTGCTTGTTCATAGTCTTTGGCCCTTTTTCTTTTGTATTGATTGTCTTTTTCTTACAAATTTGTAGGAATTTGTTGCATATTCTATAAATTACTATTTTGTTGATTATATGATGTGTTTTACTATTATCTTTTCTGGTCCTGAGATTGCATTTTCACTCTATTTATTGTGTCTTTTGTGGTATAGAAGATCTGCATTTCAGTTAGTCAAAGTTAGGAAGTTTTAAATCTTTTTTTTAATAATTTGCATTGGAAACCAAAACTTCATCATTAGCAGTTTAAAAGAGTAGTTGAGACGTTGGACTCTGGAACCACACTGCCTGAGTTCAAATCTCTACTCCATTAGTTATTGGTTGTAAAATTTTGGGCAAGTTACTTAATACCGCATGCCTTGGTTTTCTCATCTGTAAAATGGGGCTGATAGTAGTAGTATGTTTGTAACCTAAAGTTGCTGTGAGGATTAAATGAGTCAACTCATATCAAATGTTTGCACCATGCCTGGTACAAAATTAGCATTCAATAAACATTGGCTTTTATTATTGCATTGTTATTAACCTTACTTTTATTCCCTAAAATTTTACAGTGATTCTATATTACCTTTATATTTAGAAAAAAATTCAAAAACAAGAGTTTATTGGATTATCTCTTTCGTCTAATGAGATGTGAGCTATGAATACAGGAAGAAAAACAAAACAGATTGAAAGAATGGTTTTGTGTTTTTCCTTTTTCTGTTAAAGAAGTGATTCGCGCCAGCCCCAGCTGGCTGGCACCACTTGAGAGACCAGAGTTTTGTAATGGGACAGTTTAGGAACCTGGAGGACTTCACAGCCAGCCAGCTAGGCCTCCTCTTATCCCTCTGCCCATCCTTCAACAAGCATTTATTGAAGGCCTCCTTTGTGCCTTGTGCTAAGTCAGTTATTTGTGGGGTGGCTTCCTTCCTTCCCTTAATATAAGTGGTATACTTTCACTCAAAAGGTTTATGGAAATAGTTCCTAAAATTAGGGTCGTGAAAAGTGCACTGAACTAGACAGAAGTCAAGTGAGAATTCTGTCACAAATAAGCTGTGGGACTTAGTTAAGACACTGACCCTCTCTGGGCCCAGTGTTCTGATTGGTGAAGGGAGACGGATGGGAAGGTGGTCTCCAGGACCCCATTTTCCCTATGATATGTAACAATTCTTGCACTGTGCCTTCCTTCTAGCATAGGTTATCAGTCGTATAGTTAGAAGATACTGATTTATGGGTCTGCATCTCATAGGAAATCTATAGAAATCTAAGTGCCCCCTGTGGATAGGCAGTAAACCTGTGTCTGACGATTTCCACCAGAGGAGAGATTACAGTTCAAAGACAATGCTCAAGGAAATAATTCCAGTAACAGTTTTCAGCTGAGAATTGTTTCTAGCCTCATCATAATTATCAGACTGTAAAAGAAGAGCTTGAAGGCCTTTATTGTCATACACATTTATTTACATGTTTTATTTGTCAGTAACAAACTGACTGTCAGGTGGTACTAGTGAGACACCCTGCCTTGAAGTTACATCATCCATCTGGAGAAATTTAAAACAGTAATTTTCAGAATTTTAACAAGTCATATAATGTGTTTTGTCTGCAACTCATGCTCTTTCTCACTTCCCTCCATCACACATTCATTTATTCCGTTAGACATCAGAGAGAGAAAGGCAGTGGTGGTGGTGATGATGGTGGTGATGGTAGGGGAGAGGGAAGGTAACGATGGTGAGAACTAATACTTATTGAGCACTTACGATGTACCAGACACTTCTAAGCATTTTACGTGTATTAACTATTTCAATTCTCACCGCAGCCCTATGAGGTAGGGATTTTACTATCTCCATTTACAGCAAAGAAATAGAAGCACAGATAACTTACTAAAGTTTGCACAGCTAATAAGTGGGACAACTGGGATTTGAATCCAGGCAACCTGGCTCCAGAACCTGCACTCTTGAAAATCATGTTGTGGGGCTGGCCTTGTGACCGAGTGGTTAAATTTCCATACATTCCGCTTCGGTGGCCCAGGTCCACGGGTTCACATCCCAGATGCAGACCTGCTCCACTCATCAGCCATTCTGTGGAGGTATCCCACATACAAAACAGGAAGATTGGCACAGATGTTGGCTCAGGGCTAATCTTCCTCAAGTACAAAAAAGAGGAAGATCAGCAACTGACGTTAGCTCAGGGTGAGTGTTCCTCACCAAAAAAAGCCACAAAAAAGTCATGTCATAGTACCATTATACTGTATTGCCAAAGACAGGTGTTTACAGATACCCTGTCTGAAATGGATACAGACACCCAGTCTGAAAATGCTTACAGCCTTACTGAAGAGACTATATATGAATAATTACAATTCAGATGAACAGTGACCTGTGGGAGTAGTTATCACTGATTCTTCCCTAAGTATCCAGGGAAGGATTCATTTATTTCAGGAAAGCAAAGGCATGGAAAGAGTAGATTTTTGTGTAGGGATGGAAGGTTGAGGATGTGTGGGATTTATGACTGTGCAAAACCCCACTATGTGCATATTTGTGTATTTATAAATAATGCTTTGTACCTTATGAAAACATATTCAAAAAATAAAAAGGAAAAATATTAATTAAAAATAATAAGGTATTTAATTATTTTTCTTCTACCCCATTGGATTGTTCTTGAACACCCCAGGGAGACCCATGCTCTGGCCTATAGGAATAATGAAAGGTTGTTAATGTAGATTGGATAGATTTAAAATAGATAAATACTAGATGCCAATTTATTTACAGATATATTCGCACATGAAGGACAGAGCCATTTATGTTTTGTCTAATATTATTAATCTCCATTCATGTCTCCCATGGGGTTTCTGACCCAGTGCTTCATACATAATGGATATTCAACAGGGTGCCTGGTTTGCTTCGTCTACTTTGTGGCCTACACAAAGCTTAGGTAGTGGCTAAAGAGCAATGGCTCAGAATTGTCTGGGTCACTCTGCGGCTTCAGTCATTTTGCAGCTCAGCTGGGCCTGGATGTTCTAATATGGGCTCACTCACTTATTGGCTGTCAGTGATTTGTCCAGGAAACCCCAACTGGATCATCTCATCTCTGGTCCACATGGGCTTTCACCCTCTTGTAGGCTAGACCAGGTTTCCCCACATAATGCTCTCAGGGCAGCATTCCAAGAGGAGGAGAGGTGAAACTCCAAGGTCTCATTTTTATTGGAGAAAGAATGTCACAATTCCAGCCCAAATTCAACAAGTGGTGAAGTAGATTCCACCTCCTGATGGAAGGCACTGCAAGGTCACATTGCAGAAGAATGAGAAGAGTTAACTGTAGCCATCTTGCAACACCTACAGATTCAGATTTCTATGAAAACCGAATAAAAATCTAGTTTAAAGAGGGATAAAATATATTTAGTTCTTTACTTCTTTTAGTTCGCCTGAAGTGTCAAGTCATTTTTATGATTTCCAGGGTGCACTCCTGTGCTTTCTTCTTACCCACATATTCATATGTGGAACAATAGCCTACTGATAAGAATCAACTTGTATTCTGCTGCTAATCAATAAGGATTCCTCTGCCACCGTTAATTTCATCCAAGGTGTGCCTTCCAGAATTCCAAGATAATGTAAAGCTTCTGTTTAGCAGGATAGTTTGCTAAGCGTTGCTCGTAAGTAGTGCCCTTTCAGTTTAAGGCACCCCTGAGCTGCTGCAGAAAACTAAATGGAACTCGGTGTACATCCTAGCTCCCTTCACCTCACTCTTAAAGTGGATTGGGTGAAATCTGCCAGGAGAGCACAAGTCATTTGCCAGTAATGATATTTATAAATGATTAAAAAAGGAGTGATCTAAGACCTTTTTACACTGTGTTTATTCTGTTTGAAGAGATCAGAGTTTTTCTGGGACCACCAGTCCTCTTTGGAGGCTGGGAGCAGTAGCATCAAACATTCTTGTTGGCACTTGTGTTGAATCTGTGAACAGACCCATCGTGTGCAGACTCCTGCTCTGCTGAGAGGAGTGTGTGCCTCCGCATGTTTACAGTGGTGGAGTTTCCTTGCCCCTCTGCCAACAACCACAAAATGATCAGTAATGAGAGCAATTAACTATCGAGAGGAAGAAAACAAAGACATGAATTCCATGATACTCTCATGCTTTGTATTATCAGTGACTTCATTGTTTCTCTTGGCAAATTTTTAATGCATCTGTGCTTGGCCCCGGGGTGCATACTGAGGAAAAGAACGATTTTGTAATAGCGACAGTGGTTTGGGATTTTCAGGTTACCAAAAAAAAAAAAAAAGGAATGGAAATTTGCTTTTGTTTATACCAAATAATGATGCCTTACTCTTTTCATAAAGTGCCTTCAATGACATATGCCTGGTGATTTTGCAAGAAGAAAATCTGCTTAGTTGTCAGTTTGGCATAGCCTAGTGCATTGTTATCTGTGACCATCACAGCCATAGAATGGCAGCCTTGAGGAGTCTAAGAGAGCAATAGACTAGGAATCAGGAAACCTGGCTTCTGATCTCAGCTCTGCTTTTAGTCAGGCTCTGGGTTGTCACTTAGAAAATAAGAATATTAGGCTAGCTTGGCCCTACAAGGTCATTCAGAATGGAACAAGGACCAGGTGTTCTTTCCCTTGAACTCTACCTTGTTCCTCACCCCCTAACTGATCCCCTGACAGCAGGATTTGGGCCTGAGACTAGATGATCTTTGAGGTCCCGGGACTTCCCACTTTAGAATTCTGTGATTCTCTGTTTTCTTGTATCTATGGATACAAATACAGTGCAGTTGGCCCTGAGAAGCAGATTCTGCTTTGTTTTCCTATGTGGTGACCTCGGTCATTTTTTCTTGGGTTTAAGCTGGTTGAAATCATGATGGATCTTGGTTAGGTTGTGTCCATGCAGGAGAAGGAAAAGTAGAGAATTTGTGATTATTTATTTAATTTAGTTACAGGAAATGGCCAAATGTTAACAGAGGCCTATTCTATCTACCATCTCCCCCCAACACCCACACATCCCTAGCCAACTCCTTACTATAAAAATTAAATTTTCTTAATCATTCTTTATTAATCTTATATAGCCAAAATTGCTTATTCTACATAATTGAGTGCTGTTCAGATATACTTTAGTCTCCAGGTACTTGTTTTCATGTTTGAATGGTGGAAAGAGGATATTTTGCTTATGTAAAGAAACTTGAAAAAAACCTCAATGAAAGAAATTGGTTTTGGTCTTCATCATTCCTATGATACTGAGGTAGCCAATCAAAACTACTCTGATTTAGAGAAGAAAATAATAGTAATAACAATAGCTTACATTTATTTAAAACTTACCAAATATAGACCTGTTCTAAATGCTTTCCTTTGATTAATTCATTTCGTCTTCCCCAAAACTGTTATTTATCCCCATTTTGCAGAGAAGGAAACCAAGGCTTGTAGCTAAGTAACTTGCCGAAGTTCATACTGCTAGAAGGTGACAGAGCTGTGTCCTGACTTGGGCAGTTGGGCTCCAGAGTCTAGCAAATCACTGTGCAGTATCTACTGAGGGTTTTCTAAGAAGGCGTACATAATGAAGGGAGAACAACAAACGTTTATGAAGTACCGATCATGCCAGGTACTGTGCTCAGCAACTTATGCTAGCTTATTTCTATATCTGGACTAGTATCCCATTTGTTGATATGGGTATAGTTAATTCTGGGTACCCAGAATTACACAAAAATCTGAATAACATCAATTCACAACTCCCTGGCCCTTTCAGCAATTGGTCTATTCCATAAAGATGTTTTCTTTTCATGCATTATTTATGTGCAGAAACTTAGTTGAATGCATTGGTATTCTTAAACTTTAATGTGGTTTTCTCAACCACTTTGCTGGCATCTTGGGGGTGGCAGGGGGCATAGCATAAGAGAGTATGGGATTGTGGAGTCAGATGGATCTGGGCTTAAATCGTAGCTCCAGTGTTAGCTCTGTGGCCCTAGACAAGTTACTAAACCTCCCTGAGCCTTCAAATATAAAGTGGAGATAATGATACCTGGTAATGTGTTTATTGTTCACTCTTTGAGCACAGGACCCCTGTTTTCATATCTGTAACCCCAGCATCCAACAGAGTTGGGCCTCAGCAGGGATTCATTGAATGACTGAATCATGCAATCCTCAGCAGAGCTGGTTGGCTCTAAGTAGGAATTGCCTCATGGTAAAGATGATTCATCTGTGAACCACTGGCCAGAAATTTAGAAAAATGGTACTGAGAGTCTAATAATAGAAGTAGCTAATATGCATAGACCTCTTACCACATGCCAGGCACTGTTTTAAGTACTTGTATTATCTTTTTTAATCTTAAGGAGTTTTAGCCTGAAAAAGACTTTAGGAAAGGGCTTGGTAAAGGCCAATTAAGGCTGGAGACTCTCAGAGGATATATCATATACAAGAAATTAATATCAATATCTGGGTAGTACTGGTGCCTACAAAAAGTTCAGAGTGTGTGTGCGCGCGCACACCTGTGCACTCACCTGGTGGAGAAGTGACACTAGATCCCCAAGACTTACTAGAAATCTCTGGTTAACGTCACTGAATTTTGAAAACCTTTGATCATATATACCCTAAGCTCCTGCTCTCCCTCACCCCCGCCACCCCACATACATTCTCAAGTGCATAAAGTAAGCCGAACATTCACTACACTCCTTGTTATTTGACAGCAGCTTAATAATCATTAGTCCTGTTTTAAGTATGTGATATTTTGTAAAGCAGTGTCATTTAAACTAGATTTGGTAGGAAATTGGGGGGGGGGGGAGCTGTAAATTGTTTCGATGGTTGCATAATGCAGAGCAAGTCTGTGCTAACTGTAGGACACTCACCGTCAAGGGACAAACCAGGAAGTGATCCAGGGCCTTAAGTTTGAATGTATTTAACATCCCACACTTTGCTGAATTTAGGGAGCAGGCTGTCTACTAAGTTTACATTTCCACTTGGATTTACCCCTCTCTGTGTGGAACCATTTAGTTCCCTCGAAGGGAAATGGAAGGAGATGTAGGAAGATTATGGGGTTCTCAGCAGAGCTCGTTGAGCCCTTAATATTAACTGTCTCATGGTAAGTGTGATTCATCTATGAAAATACTGGCTATAAATAGATGTTAATAGTGCTCAGTTGCAAAACAGCCAGGTTGTGCTTGCATGGCCACATTAGGGAAAAAAATCCTCTTGGGTATTTTATTTGGTTTCTCTTAAAATAAAAAATTTGTTTCCTTTTATTGCCCTAGTCACCCACATTTGAAGACACTAAATTCAGCCAGCTGCAGTAAAGCTATCTGATGGCTAAAAAAAGACACATTGAAAACCAGTTAACCTAATTTAGCAATGGCCCCCCTTTGTCTTTTTCTTCCATTTTCAGTAAAAATCATTGAAACATTCTCTTAATGGTAGTTTTGCTTGTAGGAAGGGCATGGACAGAGCTTCAGAGAGGGGAATGGAACTTGAGGTTGTGTGATTCAGGTCCATATTCCCAAGGATTCTGAGTCCTAAGAGAAAGTCAAAGTTACAGGTAGAGAAGAATCAAGTATGAAGTTCAGAAGGCAGTGTAGTGGTCGTCTCATCTATCCCCAGTGGTACCAGGCACTCAGTATTGCCTGTGATCGCCTGCTCAATTGTTACACAGCTCCAGATGTCTAACTGTGCTTCCCATGAGCTGAAACCCAGCTCCCAGGAACTTCATTCATTCATCCCGCTTCTGCTGCCAGTTGGATCAAGCAAGGCTGCTCCTCTTGCCTCTTCCACACATAGTCCTTCAATGGGAAGGGCTCTGTTCTTTTTTCCAGGTGAAACATTTTCAGTTTCTTCAGTCACTCTCCATACTACATAATATAGTCTCCCTCACCCAACACACAATCTCACACGCACATTTTGATTACACCCCTTTAGACCTGCTCTTCGTTCAGTGGGTGTTTCTTAAGAAATGCGTGGAGTCGGGCACAATTTCCCAGATATTAAACACAACTAAAGCAGTGAATTGGTGACAGTATATAATTAGGGAAGATCACAGTAATTCTTCTGATGTTGGATCTCAGTTGGAATTTTAAGTATAGATCCAGAAATTTGATACTAGCGACTTCATGAGGACTTATTCCAGTTTAGCTTATCAGGTGAGTACTTATAATAATACCTTTCATGTGTACATTGCTTGGTACATCAGTAGATAGGTAATTATTTGCCCTGTTTTGCAAGGTGAGGAATTTGAGTTTCAGAAAGTTTAAATAACTTTGGCTAATAAACCTTGGACTGGGGATGAAAACTTAGGTATTCTGATGCCCCTTTCTCTCCAGGCTCCTGCTGGACTAATCAAAACTCACACTTTTTTTTTTAGCTTGAATGTGGTGTTTGGTTGCTTGTCCACTAAGTGCTGTAGTCAGAGAAGCTGCTGGCTGTAGATACAGAGCAAACAGCCTCCTGATGAGGTCTAGTAGAGCAGACTTACATCGTGGCTTTTCTTAGCTAGGTTTTCTGAAGAAAGGACAAAAAGAAATATAAAAATCTCAGAGTATAAATAGTTGATTTATCCGAGTTTTCCATTACAAATCAGTGGCTCTTTAAAGATTCTTTTCTCATTTAAGGTTGACACAGAGCTGGGAATGTTTTCCAGATCTTTGTGGAATAGAACAGAAAAAGAAAATTATTTTCATATAGTCCAAGTTAACTTTGAATGCATTTTTGAATGTCACACTCCCAGCACTAGATCAGAACTCTTGAAAATCATGTGATTCTTTTAACAGTTTTCAAACTACGTCACTTTTCGTATTTCTTCCAACTCTGCTCTCTGTTTTTTCTTAGAAGTACAGTGATGTTGAGCCAGTCACTTAACCTTTCTATTCTCTCTGAATTTTTGTCCTTTCAGCTCTTGGAACCAGTTTCATCCAATCTCCTTCTTCTGCAGTTGAGGCCCATGGAGGTTAACTGATGTGTCCATGGTTGTACCCGGAGCCAACACCAGAACCCAGATCTCTTGCCTGCAGCCCTGTTGACTGTTTTCACAGCAACACTACATGTTCATAGGCCAACCTATTTCTTCCAGATCTAAAAAGTTGTAAATCCTAAAAGATAAAAATGCATCCTTCAGAGTACCCAAAGTCTCCCAAAATTTTTGTTCACTTTCTCAACTCTTTCTCACCCACTAAGTGACAATGGGTCACCATGAATGCCTTTAGGCTTCCTCTTGGCTAGACCAGCCCAGCATAGTAAAGAGCTCGGAGGTGAACAGGAGATTCAGAGATCAAGAGTTCCTATCTATAGATTCGAACATGACGTCTTTCCTTTCTCTTTTCTAAGGACCTGTGACTAGAATAGAGATTGTGTGTTAGCAAGAATATATTGCAACTGGTAAAGTCCCTGGGCAGTACTCAACCTTGTAGTCCTTTGACTTCTCCTTTCCCACCATCTTTCAGTGTCTCTATGTACTCAGTTTATCTTCCTGTAACTAGGGGAAAGTTTTACTACTTGCCTCCCAGGCATATAAGTCTAATCTGACACATTTACACTTTCTCTTAGTATGGGAAAAGAAGGAAACTAACTTTTGTAAAGCTCCAATTATCTGCCAGATAATATGATTTATACTTTTTTAAATTTGTTATTTATTTATTTATTTTAATTAATTAATTTTTTTTTTGAGGAAGATTAGTCCTGAGCTAATATCTGCCACCAATCCTCCCTTTTTTGCTGAGGAAGATTGACTCTGAGCTAACATCCGTGCCCATCTTCCTCTACTTTATATGTAGGACACCTACCGCAGCATGGGTTGACAAGTGATGCGTAGGTGCACACTTGGGATCTGAACCAGTGAAACTTGGGCCACCAAAGCGGAACTTGTGGACTTAACTGCTGTGCCACCGGGCCGGCCCCTATACTTTCTTTTTAAATCTTTTTTTTAATTCAGACACATGGAGTTGGTGGTATTCTCTTTATTTTACAGATTAAAAAACTGAGGTGTGGAGAAATTCACAACTTATTGTGGTAGAAATAAACGTTGAAGACTAAATACAAAATACCAATACATACTATAAATAATGTCCAACCTACAAAGTGTTTTGGGACCATTTGAGAGGAAATGACTAACTCTGCCAAAGGGACTTCATGAAAGCACCTTAGAGATGAGTTGGGCCTGGAAGATAAGAAAGAGAGTGTCCAGGTCATATGTAGAGCTTGAAGGTGGATGAAAAACACAGCATGTGGCGAATATCAAATCATCCCTATGGCTAAAGTGAAGGAGGTGTTCAGTGGTGAAAGATGAGGGTAGAAAGGTAAACCATGGGCACCGTTAATGCTGCTCATCACAGGGCTATTCAAATAGTGAAGATGAAACAGGCAAGTCTCCCATAAATACCGGGGAATAATTAAGTCATAGAATATCTGTATACTGGCCAGTTAGGCAGCCAGTAAAAGTCAAGTTTTCAAAGAATATTTAATAATATGGAAAATTATTTTCAATATATACTGATAAGTAAAAAAAAATTGAAAAAAATTAAACTAATTTGTTCAGTCACATTCCTTTCACATTTTGGAGTCTTTCATAGGAGAGAAAAGTGAGATAAAGTGAGATAAAGCCTTGAAAGTCGTCAACAAGGCAATGCAAGGTTACCTCATTAGTAGCTGTTGTGATTGTCCATGGGGTGTGAGAAAAGAAGACCAAGGAAATTTGACTGTGGACTATGTGTTAGATGATAGTAAGAAGTCATTGTTAATTCTGATAGATGTATTAATGGCATTGTATTACGGGAGAGAATGTCTTTTTTATATTTTCTAGGTACATAATGAAGTATCTAAGTGCAAATGACATGATTTCTTGGGCTTTACTTTTAAATATTCCAGAAAAAATAAAGGCAGAGGGTAGAGGAGAAATTAGTATGGCAAACTTTGAGGGCTGTTGAAGATGGTTAATGGGGACATGGACATTGTTATGTTCTTCTCTCTACTTTCTCTATATTCGGAAATGTTTATAATTAAAGATTTAAGAAGAAAGCACCAGGGACATAGTATTGGATACATAAACATTTTAAGTGATTCTCTTGCAAGAAAAAAAAGACGGGAGGTACAGCAAAGAAGAAAGAAGGCACCGATGTTTGGTTGTCCGATCAAGACAGGCACAGAGAGCTGTGTCCCAGAAGCCAGGAGAAAATGACTTCAAGGAGCAGAGGGCTGCTGTGATCTCATTTTAACAACATTGCCACCGCTCAGAACAGTTCTGGAACTCTACTTTTGGAATTTTCTGTGGTGTTATATCCCTCAGCCGTGGCGAAATTTGGTCCATTGAAGGTGAATTTGACTTCTGACAACAAGGAAAAGTTCCTTGGACCCAAATCTAGTGAATCAAATTAGAGTTTGGGTCGGCTAATACTGTTTTTGATCAAAGAACCATTTGTGACCTTAAAATAATGGGATTGGCTTTTGAATGTGGCCTTTCAAGGCGTTTTGAAGACATTTCCAAAATGTGTCAGCCATGACACTTTTTCAGAATAAGCTTCATAAGGGAGAACTTTTGACAAAAATGACACGTTTACAATGATAACTTAGGGCTTTTTTTTTGTTTTTAATACTGTATTTACTTCAGTTATATGTCAAATCTTTGGTGTCCTGAAACTTCTGGTTGTTTTCTAGAATCTCAATGTAAGAAAAAAAGTAGGAAGCAGCACAATATATGACAGAGGAAAGAGTACAGGCCACGGAGCCAGCCAGGCTGAATTACAACTCTGCCTCCATCGCTACGTGCTGTCCAGTTGGGGGCAAGTTACTTCATTTCTTCGGGATTCAGTGTCTTGCAGGACTGTTGGGAAGATTTGAGGTCATATGTATAAAATGCTGTGCCCAGGGCCTGGCATATGACAGGAACACAAAACTCATCCTGGTGGAGATATAATGATACAGTTTTCTTTCTTGGTTCGTCAGACATACTTTCCCTCTTGGGACATCAACTGAGATAAGAAAATAACTAATGAATTTTTGCCTTTCAGCATCATGAGGAGAGTATGTTACTCAGCCTTATATTGCTGAAGTGGGTGGCGAGTTCTTTTAGTCAGTGCTAAAGCTATGTTTTCAGAGACTGTGTTATTTTGTATCTTGCCGAGATGGAGATCGGCAAGCTGAAGAAATTGGAATTTGGCCGGGAACTGGTGCCTGTTTAGCAGAGAGGTGATAGGGAACCATGATTCTGTGGGTTTGGAGGGACGTTACATGAAGTGTCTGGCTTCTTGGTCCAAACTGGCCATGGCTGTCCCGAACAAGATGACAGAGGCTGCTGATTCAAAGGTGTGTGCTCACCCAGGCTCTCGCTGGCATGCTTCTTCCACCAACCAAGACTTTTTAAATCTTCTCTAACACAACAGCAACACAGAACTTACTGTCTTCCTGGCCAGGCACTGTGCTATGGCACTTTTCATGCACTATTCCCTTCAATACTGAAAACAGCCCCATCAGCCAATTACTGCTGTTAATCTGCACTCTGTGGGAAAATAAAGTTTAAAGAGGTTAAGTCAATCTGCCCCAAGCCACAGAACTGGTAAGTGGCAGAGCAGGAATTCCAGCTGGCTCCAGGGCCCACCCAGTCTTTGCAAGCCTATGTTCTATTGCCTGAGTTCTTTTTTTTTTTTAAATATTTTATTTTTTTCCTTTTTCTCCCCAAAGCCCCCCGTACATAGTTGTATATTCTTCGTTGTGGGTCCTTCTAGTTGTAGGCATGTGGTACGCTGCCTCAGCGTGGTTTGATGAGCAGTGTCATGTCCACGCCCAGGATTCGAACCAACGAAACACTGGGCCGCCTACAGCAGGGCACGCGACCTTAACCACTCGGCCACGGGGCCAGCCCCGCCTGAGTTCTTTCTCATTAGCAATAATGATCTATTTAAAGGTGGAAGAGACATCTCAACAATCATGGTACAATTTTGACTACATCAGCAAAATCGAAAAGGCCACTGCCCCTTCACCAAAGACCTGCATCATGAAGTGGTGAGAGAAGAGAACATAGAGAACACTGGAGAGAAAGAAAAAATATCTAGGCTTGGTCAAATCTGAGATTAGGGCACAGTGTGAATTAAGGTCATGCTCCTTCATTGCTCTCCATTATTCTACTCATTCTAGGTGGGAGAGAGGGAGCTGTTATAAAACAGGGGGTCTGCTTAAGTCAGAAAGCATCAAGGAGCATCAAAAAATATCAAGAAAACCACATGCAGCAGGGTGAACACTTGCACTAGGTAGTGCGGCTCTAGCAAGACCCTATGACGCTATGACTTTGGGTCAAACTGATGTCAGGGCTTTCCTTGTGTCCTCCTCTAAGAAGGGTCAACCAAGCCCTTTCCGAAGCCCCTAGGCCCATTGATCTCCATGAAGGAGTGGGTTTCCAGTGCTCTTTAATTAGGGGAGACCCTTCCCAGGCCTGGTGAATAGATCTGAACTCCAGGCACTCCGGAGTCCATGGGACTGGGATAGATTGAGCTTGGGGGTTCTACCCACTGCATGTGGTTCTGTATAACCCTTTGTTAGGAAGCACCCAAGGCACCCAGAGTGCATGTTGACCAAGGAAGGTGGCTGCTGCCAGGAGCTGTAAGTACATAAATGGATGCCAGAAGCTTACAGTTAAGGGGGGAACAGAATCATTACCCTCCCTTGAGTATGTTGCTTTGGATGTTTGGTAATGATTGTGAAGTGTTTACACACAGACTAAACTACGCTCTTTGTGTTCTTTGCAAGGTGGAGAGCTTGCCAAGTCAATTTTAGCATGCAAAGCCCAGACAATTATTCTTCGGCATTTAGGGGCCACCTGTTTTTGCTGGGGTTGGGGGCAGTCAGCCTGTTGACGCAGGAAGGCTATATAAGGAAAAAGAAGGCAACTTTACTGCATAGTTTTTATAAAAGACCGCCACCACCCCCAACCCCAGCTCCCAAGTCCCTGCCTCCCATGCTGAACCTCTGTCAGAGCTGACAGAAGAATCCTCCGGCTCAGAAATGCCCTGCACACTTCAGTGCCCACAGCGTGTGACTCATCTGCGGCTGTTTTCATTTCTTCTGCCTACCACCTCACCATAAAATCATGGATTTCTTTTGTCAGTGTGTGCTTGCAGATGGTTGAAAGCTGTAT